ATGTGATGAATTGCTAGAACAACTGTTGGAGGGGGATAAGCGAGGGGACGATGATAAGCGAGGGGACGATGATAAGCGAGAGAGACTGGTAGCGTTGGCTGTTGGTGGCAAAGCCAAACATTACTTTGGGGACTACACTCCCAATAAAATTCACAAAATGTCAACCAAAGAAATCGATAAGCTGTACGCTAGATACGAGGCTAGACTCGGCGCCGAGATAACAAAGACTATAGGATCGTCTATGACCCAGATATACACTGGTCTTGCATCATACTTCCTTCCCATTCTCCAGGAACGTCGCCTTTACCTGTGGGAGGACCTCGAGAAAGACCCTTTTATTGAACATGCTTGAGCTCTATCAGCTGCATGCTGTACCACAAATACGGTATGTTTTTAGCACCGGTGACGGCGGCGATTATCACAGCAAAGCATTGCCAATTTAAGGAGGGGAAAAATAATAATAATAGTATACAAGATGGATGCTGCCCAAGGAATGAGTCCCCAAATGGAGGAGACCCCGACGTTGGGGGAACCCCAACTGGAGGTGACCCCTTCAGAGGAAACCCCACCCCAAACCCCCAGGGAGGTGAACCCTACAGTCACCAGGCAGAAGAACCCTAAGAGAGTCGCCGCCGGTAGAAAAAGGTGGTCTAACCAACATAAGAGTAACACATGGAGCAGGGCTCCACTCCTGTTGATTGCAGGCGCAACTGCTGCCATGGCTATCTCAAGGTTATATAATAAACAACCACCCAGGGAGGGTATCCCTCCCCAGGAACCCCTACAATTAGAGGTCAACCCACATATCATGTTATAAATATATATTTTATATCATATACATAATGTGTGAGGGGAAAACGTTCGTCAGCGATGCATACCACGCTACCGTGGTCGCCAGTCTAGCTGTAGGGTACGCTCGGTTGACCAAAATGGTGCTTAAACAACCGACTATCAAGCTAGATTTCAACCTGCAGGATATGGGTATGCTCATAATGAACCTGGGTATGGCGATGGCCACCAAGGACATCCTAGTAAAACAAGGGATCCTACCGGAAAATATTTTGAAGTAATTGTAACTATATATAGGATGGCTACGATCGCCATGATGGTTGGCGGGGCGTTAGTAAACGCCCTGGCATTTTCCGGGAGTAATTTCCTCTTCTCGAAACTACGGGACTCACACGCAGCTGAGATACAAGCTGAGCGTAAGTGCCATGACCTGGCCTTTGAGAAATTTCAAGCAGCGCAAGCCGAGTACGCGAAGAAACGTGTACAGAGCATCGATTACGCTAACGAACAACTCAGGCGTGAGAACCATGCCGTTAAATCATTCCATGATGTCGACGACGCAGCGAGAGAATACTACCTACTAACCGGTAAACAGCTAAAACCACTCCCTCCTAAGCCCACACTCGCTCAGTACTACACACCATCCCCGGGGCAAATGGACCGGGAATTGATCTTTATTGCACTGGGTCTAGCAGCGACTGTGTTGGTTGCGAAACAATTTGACTAAGTACTCATATAAGTATACCAAAGATGAGACCTGCCCCATACCGATGTCAGTACATACTTATGGGGAAGACCGAGGCCTGTGGTAGGAGCTGCAGGACTGAGGGGTACTGTTGTTTTCATATAAAGAGTATCAACTACACGTGTTCTGTGTGTGGTGTCGGGGTGAAAGGTCACTACTGCCTATGCAAAGCTCACGGAGCAAACGTAGTCAGACATCATCTTATCTACGAGAAGAAAAAAGACTACAGAAAAGAACGTAGGCGCCTCCTCAGCATAGCAGTGTAGTGGTCCAATTAGAGACTGTGCACACCTAGGTATAACAATGTTCGTGGAAGTTGAGCCCAGGGAAAGCCGTTGCCTGAGAAGCTGGCAGATGGATGTGGGGAAAAGTATAGATATCAGTGTCCTCAAACCCATGATTGTTAGCGAACTATATAAGAGGTGCTAATTTTACAATCATGGTGAAAGTAGGGTTTGATGTACCGTGGGCTGGGCACACTTGGAATTACTTTGATGGTGGACGAGTAGATGTGCATGGAGAGATAGATATAGTTGTTGACGACTCGTTGCAAATAATACAAAACACCCTACTATGCTGCGCATGTTCCGGTTGGGTCGAGGGTATAATCGATAAGGTCTATCTAGATATTTACTAAGGATTTTATAGCGCCTCTATTTTTTATCAAGGTTGGAAGAGTTACCTCCCTTGCCGGTGGCCGTATTAGAGATTGATATACTTAGGTGTGTACACAATGTCTACTACTCGGGAGCTCAAGCAGATAGCGAGACAGCGAGGTGTAATTGGTTACTCTCGAATGGTCAAACCACAGTTGTTGAGATTACTTAACATACAACCCCCTCCCACAGTAAAGCAACTAAAACTCACCGATATCAAACCTCTAATCGCTGATAAAGTCAATGAGGAACTAAACGATTTGGGAAGTATAAAGTTTCAAATCACAGTGAAAATGTCACTCGATAAACAGCAGGGCGTGGGGGGAACCCCCACTGGGGTCATTGAGTACGTTCAGCCATACGTCCGAGGTAAACAAGAAGTCGTGACTCATACCGAGACTATAGACAAGTCAATAGATACCAGTTTTCAGCAGATACGAGAATACCTAGAACACTACACACACATGGGGTCCTGGTGGGTAGTGGATAAAATCGATAATGTCTATCTAGACATAGCTAACTACATGCCATTCAGAGGCGGGTCGTACCTAGACTTGCCCCCTACTACAAAGCAAAACAGGCTATGGTCAACGTCAAGAATAGAGAAGACAATTGCCTGAGGGTAGCTATCAGGTCAGCCTTGTTTCTAGTTTCCAGCTCATTCAGACAGGCTTTCTAGCTATCCCCAAGACGACGGGCTCAACTGGGATGGTATAGATGAACCCACCCCCATATCCCAGATAACTGGGGGAAACCCCAACTGTTGGGGAGGGGGGCAACCCCCAACGCGTTGTCAATATATTCATGATCCAGCGAGGTGATAAGTATCACTACACGTGGATAAAACACCTCAGCAGGCTGTTGCACGACCAGTTGAAACACGTTGGGAAAAAACACCTTTTGTGTACGATGTCTGCACGGTTTCAGTAGACCCGACCTGCTGGAATCACACCGGGGGGATTGCCAAGGTGTGGGGCAGACTGCCATACGAGTCGACATGCCCAAGGAAGGTGACACTATCCTAACATTTGCCAACAACAAGAACCAGATGTCCGTGCCTTATGTCATCTACGCCGACTTCGAAGCCTTGGTCAAACCCGTTGAGGCTGGGGGTACCCCCAACACACAAAAAACACAGGAGCACGAGGCCTGTGTGTTTGGATATGTGGTCGTCCGATGTGATTGGGAAATGAAAGCTCCCGTGGTGTACAGGGGTCCCGACGCGGCTGAAAAGTTTCTAAAGTGTTTGCAGGAGGAAGAGAAAAGTATTAGGAATGCACTATACACAGTCGCCCCCATGCGTATGACTCAAGCCGATCGGCTAGCTCACGCCTGCAGCACTCACTGCCGTGTGTGTGATAGCCCACTGAACGGTGATCTGGTGAGAGATCACTGCCACGTCACCGGTAAGTATAGAGGCGCCGCTCACTGCGTGTGTAACCTCAAGCTTAGAATCACCCCTAAGACAATGAACATCACCGTGGTCTTCCACAACTTGAGAGGGGTCGACTCTCACTTGATCATGCAGGCCATCGTGAAAGTCGACGGCAACCTGACGTGCATCCCCAACAACATGGAGAGATACATCTCCTTCAGCTTGAATGGCCTGAGGTTCATTGACTAGGTTCAGATCCTCCTGTCGTCACTCGACAGTCTGGTCAAGGCCAACGATACCTTCCCCATCACTGATCGATATACCAACGCCGAGACTCGACCCTGCTGATGAGGACAGGCAGGAGTTCATGGGTTCGTGTCACACCTGCTAGACAAACACGATACCAAGGTCAGGCGTGGCGCTGCTGGAGCCCATCGCAGCCAAGCCATAGTTGAGAGATTCAATAGGACTTTGGCCAAGCGCTTATTCGGGCATCAGTATGCGAGAGAGATGGCCAACCCGGGGAAACGATCGACTGAATGGGTAGCGCGGTTACCTCAGGTGGTGTCGGCCATCAACCACGAAATCACCCGTCTCACCGGCAAGAAACCAGCCGATGCTATCAAACTAAAATCAATAGTGGCAGAGTCGGCTGCACCATTGCGTGGGAAGGAGAAACAGATACCTGATAGGGTCCCCGTGAGGTACCTCTACCAGCCGGGGGAACACGAAGGGGATAGTCGTAAGCGAGACACAGATCCGATATGGTCAGTCAAAACTTACAACATAGATAAAGTGGACATCAAAGCCGACGAGCCGAACTTGTACTACTTGAGAGATGGGCCAGGGAGAGGGTTCGTTAGAGAGGAATTATTGATCATACCGTACGGTACAATGTTACCTCCTGTCAACACGTCATAGTGGTACAGTAGTGCCACGTGGGGCCAGGAAGTTAACTGGGGGTTCAAAAGTAGTAGATATACGGGGGCGAGATCTAAGGGCCTGACAAAAGCTTTATTTGTGAAATAAAGCTTTGCAGAGGCTTTTGTTGGACTTGGTCTCGGACTATCATTATATCTACTACTAAGTGTGAATATCAGTTGCTGCCAGAGGCGCAAAACATGCTTACCCTTTTTCCCGAAGACCTCGTGTCATTGTTAATTTTTCGGTGATTCATTCATTTATTGTATACTTTTCAGCGCTATTTTGCTTCATGATTCTTTGAATCTGTTTCCATGGATGATCGCCACTGCTCTTTCACTGGCGTTGATGTTTCATATTTAAGTATTTCATAGGACTGTACATCTACCCTTAACAAAATGGACGCCGTATGAGTATAAACCTATGACCTGGAAATATCAACGAAATTGTAAATCTTTTGCACTGTCGTTTATCGTATTTGTTCACATATTTGTACATTACATGTATGCCACAGTAACAACGAAGCCCACAATAAACTCCAACCTCCTTCGACTGACCGCCAGCAATGGTGACACGACAGAGGCACCTCCCAACATCAACAGTGGTCCATCTCAGTCCACCAACTGGTCAAACATCAACTCTCCATCCAGACTGTACTACAAGTTTACGGCAGAATACAAAATGGTACCTCCATCCAGACATGCCTTCATTGAAAACTTCCGTGTGGGAATTGTCAGTGGTACAGCTACATTCAAACTAAAGAGAGGTATGTGAAGTATCAGAATGCACAATATAACATTTTGCTGCATACGTCTAAAGGTGAAACGGATTTTCTAACGAGTTGGGTATAATACTGTTAATTGCATCTAGTTTTACAGCGGTATATACTATCCGTTGGTACAATGTGTATACGGCATGTAAATAAAAGTTGACAGTTCCGACTATATTATGATTATGTGTACTTTCAAACAGTGATGATACCAGGCGTTGGAGAGAAGGTGAACATGTCCCGAATCACCTACCTGATGAACTCGTGCTTCTTGTTTCATCCTCCCTCTGAAAAGCATTATTCACTCACCTGACTGTGTTGTTGTACCTAGGTGCAGGTGTTGTCTCCACTAAGGTCTATAACTGTGGAGGAGCCAGCCGAAGCAGCCCGGACACAGACCTGTACACCTGTGAAGGAAACTCATCAGGGACGTCTGTACTACCTCTACCCTTCCATCACAGAGATGTGTAAGTACTGGACAGATGAATCTGTTTGACAGATGTGTTCTGTAAATGGCGAACCTGGAGTGTACAGCTTGGACTGTGTCAGGCAGGATGGACGTTTAGATAGTGTTCCTTTTCACCCTGACATTTCAGTACACCTAGCTATTTCATCACAATGTAGTTTTCGTTTTCATGCTATTTTGTGTGTGTAAATATTTCTACTAAACTGCATTCTGACCACGGACAACCACAGGTTATCTACGATACAGACACCGTTGTATATTTTGTATAGTTACTTTTATCTTAAAGCTTGGAATCTGAATGCCATAATATAAAAGAAATAAAAAAAAAAATGTGAATTCAGACGATACTGTCGATACGGTACTGAAGTGGCTACTTTTGTGTACATTTCAAATTAGTTAAAGGTCGGTTGCAACGTAAAACACAACTTTGCAGATTCTGATACCTTTCGGTATGGACTTACAGTAACAAATAAAAAAAATGCAAATTCAACTGAGAAAGTTGAAAAATAACGCGATGAACAAAACCCCCGTGAAATCGGAGTTAAAACGATTCACTAAAGTAACCCCAGTTTGGTGTGAAAAGTGGTTTCAACAGCTCTGCTGTGCTGCGCTGGGAAGCGCTCATAGCGCATGCGCAGTGAATAGGTTCGCGCAGCTTGGAAGCGGGATGTCCGGATTATAAGGTCGTGAGCAGGAGTAGTCTAATAATCTTGGTTGTTTACACAATCAGCAAATAGTTACATAAAAGAACCTTGTTAAGGATCTAGATCTACTAAGCTATGTGTCAACCAGTGAGGCGTTCGACATTTCAAGACAGACAATCTTCGCTGGCGGTGAGTACTTGGAGTAGGCTTTGATGTGAGCTATTTTTGTAATGTTTTGTTGATATTTCACAGGCGCGAGCTTTTTATATGTTATGACAGTAGATTACCGATTTAGAATCATTTTCTTATATTCAGGGTACTGAGTTCAATACAAGTTTGTAGAATACAATACAATGTTACAAATGGTATTTTTTTCTATTGTTGAACCCATGATAGATGTACATTGATAGACTTTTAACAGTTTGTAGATTTGTTGCTTTCAACAATAACCTTAATTTATATTCACAGTGATTGATGCGGTAAAATGGGGGGATATATAACATTCTTAAATTGTGAAAATACGGACAGACTAATATCAAATGATACCCATCTTCTATCACCCCTAAACCACATAACATACACACCTATAACATCTGCATTTGCTGTGCTATACAATGAAGTTTTTGGCTGATAGATGTTAACATCGAGGCATGTCCAGAGTTAAAAGTACAATGATCTTTTAACCTTAGAGTTACGAGGATTTAATAAAAAACATTTGTGAAGCTAATACAATCAAGTTTAAAAGCATATCCGAATTCACATGTTTCAAGCATATTTCTCACATTTGTTATCCAATTTATATTACCATTTCTATCATACATACACATCATATTGTAACATGTTTTGGGATAATGTGACTGCGGCATGTTTACTAACCTTATCCAATATCTTAAAATTTGCTTATATGCTTCAATATATATAGGGTAACGTCCACATTCTCCATAAGCAATGCAATTAGAAGTACTGACCTTACCACCTAAAAATCTTTTACATGCATAAAGTAGTAGTACAATGGGGTTCTGCATCACATGCGGCTTAGAGGCTTATTTATGGGACTTAAGCCTCCTAGCCCCCCTTAAAAACGGCGAGGTGTAGCGCGAGGCATCCTCCGATGTGCCTCCAGCCTAGACCGAGCTTAGCAACGGAGTTTGGATTGGATTTAAATGTAGCCGTAATATTCGGCAACGACTTTATGGAGTGGGTCTGCCATGAATTCCTCGAAGTGGATTTAGGAGTACGAGACATCGTATTCTCGGGTCTCGAAGCTATAATCGATTAACGTATCCATGCGGTGTTGTAACCGTTCGGTGCCCATGAGACCTAAACTATCGTACAGGCTGGTGAATTTCCCTCGAATTATGACTCAACGCAGGGCGGCATAAATATCGAAGTCATGGACGTCCACCCCGATGCGTCTGAACAACTGTTTCTTGATCAATCTCCACATGTATGAGAAACATAAGACGAATCTTTAATAAGGGGGCAATACCGTGTCATGAGGGACGATTTGTAATTCCTCTCGGACGAATCCCCCACCCGGTCCATCTTGCAAGTAGTACAAATTCGGTTCGTCGTCTTTGATGTCCACTTGGTCGATGTGGTACGTTTTCATGGACCATACGGGGTCTGTGGCGCGACGTTTGTCCCCTCCTTCGAGTTCACCGGGCTGGTACAGATACCTCACAACGACCCGGTCCGGTAGTTTTTTCTCTTGGCCGTGACGTGATGGCGCAACCAATTCGGTCGTCACGGATTTCATTTGAATGGCTTTGACAGGTCTTTTATCGAGGAGTCGAGTGACTTTGTTGTTGATCGCCGACATCCAGTCTCGGTTCACCGTCAATCGTCACCGTGGAGCGCTGCCAAGTCGATATCGAATAGCTTGTTCGGTTGAATGCGGACTGGCGATCAGTTTCCTGAGTTTTTCTTCCTCGTGAGATCGCACGAGTTTGACCGTCACCCTTTTTCTCAAGTTTTCCATGGTTTTGCTGAACACCGATTGTACATCAGTTTGTAGAGATTTTTCTTGAAGTCGCTGGTGGCCTGTTTTCGCAGCTCGGTGTTCAACCGAATGTAAGGTTCCATCCAGGGACTTTGATCGAATTGCAGCACCCGATGTATTTTGGTCAGCTTCATGCCCAGCGACAGGTACATTTGCAGATTCCGATAGTGCACCACGTACTTGGTCTTGTGCATCAAGTTTGGAACGAGTTTTTTCACGTTGGCCAGCATATTTTTCCCGAGCAACGTTAGTTGATAGTCCGACATCCAGTCTCGGTTCACCGTCAATCGTTCGGGAGCCAGCAGATAGCTGTTGTGAGCAGCGTCCAATGCCGCGGGATACTCCAGATCCACTTCGAGGATGTAGCTTTGTTCGAATCTAGCGCAATGCTCGTGATATCGATCTCATCGTCCAACCACTCGAACGCACCCGTAGCTGTAGACTGGCTCATGGCCCAGCCGTGCAGGTTGTTGGCGTCGAGATACAGGAGGTGATTGGTGGGCTTTTTCGAGTCGTAGCCTTCAACGTATGGGTTGTTGGCTTTCGTGCACTTGAGACCATGGAAATCCCACCACGCATGCCTTTCTCGATGAACAGGTGCATGTCATAATCGGTGAGCAATTCCAGTTTGCCTCTGGTTTTCTTCAAGAGCGCATCCCAAGAGAGACCGGGGCTGGTGTAGTACCAGGAAGGGTCGAGTTGATACTGTTTCAAACACGTCGTTCTGAACGTCTCCAACACGTCGGCCAGCAGCAGCACATCCGTTTTCAAGTACAGGTCGTGGCAGTCGCCCAGATTCTCGCAACCCAGTTTGTTCCACACAATCTGAGCGTGGTCGTAATCATCCTGGGAGATATGGGGTTCGGTCAAGTTGCTGTAAAATCGGTCGATAGGAGTTAGTTGGGTCTCGTCGAACTTGGGCCAATCGTCCATGTACTCCTTCGGGTACACGCCCTTTTTGAGCAGCAGAGGTCGAGTCGCCTCATTGGTGTATTGATGGGTGATGGCGAAGTTATCGTTGGCCTTGACCAAACTATCGAGTGATGACAGGAGCAACTGAGCGCTATCGATAAATCTCAGACCGTTGAGCGAGATCGAAATGTATTTCTCCATGTTGTTGGGGATGCACTTGATATCGCCATGGATGTTCGAGGTGGCCTGCATGATCAAGTGAGCATTGTACCCTCTCAAATTGTGGAAGACCACGGTGATGTTGATTTTGTGGGGATCGATTCTAAGTTTTAAGTTGCACGATGTTGTGAGCGGCGCCGGTCGGTGATGTGACAATGATCTCTCACGACATCCCTGTTCAGGGGTTGGTCACACACGTGGCAACACTTAGCATGCTTGTGAGCGAGTTCATCCTCCAGCATCATATACATGGAGCAGGATCCGACAACGCTTCCCTGATGTTTTTCTCTTCGCGTTGTAAGTACGTGAGAAACGTTTCGGCCGCGTTGGGACCTCGGTGGATCACGGGATTCTCTGTTTCACCATCTCATCGAACAACCACGTACCCAAACCCGCAGGCTTGGTGTTCTTGTTTGTTGTACGAAACACTTCTTTCCGGCGATGGCGCTTCGAAGTCGACGTAAATGACGTAAGGCACGGGCATTTGATGTTTGTGGTTGATGAATTTTAAGATGTTTTCATGTTCTTGAGGCATGTCGATTCAGATCGCCGTCTCTCCCACGCCTCGGCAATCCTCCCGGTGCGCTTTCAGCAGGTCGGCTCGCATGAAGCCATGCAGACATCGTTCGCAGAAATGTTTCTTTTCTCTGTGCGTTGATTGATCGTACAACAGTCAATATGTGTATAGTGATACTTACCCTCTTTTTCAGTCATAAATAAATTGATTCTGTGCACATCATCGGGCATGGAGCATGGTCGTATTGCCTTCGTGGCCAAATACGTTGATGGCTAAATGGTTTAGTTTTTCAAATCGGGTCCAGTAGGAAATGGGTGTGGGTTTAACTAAGCCATCCCAGTTAACCCCATCTTCTTCGGGGTAGCTCGAAGGTCTGTTCTTATTAATAGCTACTGGAAATAAGCCAGCTCTCACCGAATATACTGCACAAGCATCGTCTTTATTTTTAATGTTATTAATGGCTTTTTTATTTCTGTAGTAAGGTGGCAAGTCTAGGTACGATCCGCATTTGAACCGTACGTAGTTCGCTACGTCCAACTAGATGGTGTTGACACTTCCCACCACCCACCCGGAGCCCCTATGCGTCCATCGTTCCAGCGATTCTTGTATTTTTTGTAGCGAGGTATCGAGGGTCGAAGGGATCGAGTCAGATTGAAGTACGACTTCCTGCTTGCCTCTGAAATAAGGCTCGATGGACTCGGTACTGC